ACCACGTTTCATTCTTAAATAAATGCAGGGGACCCAATCCAGATCAGGCCCTTAGTGATGGGAGTCGGCTGCATTTTTAAAACTCTTGCTTCCTGGATCTGGATTAGGAGAAGCTCGTCTCTAGATCAGATTATCAAAAAGCCAGCCTCCGTATCAAGTTGTTAACTTTGGAGCAATTGAAGTTGACAGTGTGGTTGGGCTCATGACAGGAAGCGAGCGGGGTAGGTCCTTCTTCTGTCACTCTGCATCCAAACCCTACAAGCAAACTAAAATGAACACCCCCCCACTCTATGGCTCCGGGGTGCAGAATATGAAACCACCGTTGCCAAACTACACAATATGTTTTCATCCTTAAAGCAAGTTCAGAGGTTCCTGTTCTCAACTGGGAATTGTGTGTGCATGCGCCCTGTTCCCGCATGTTCATTTATTCCGGGTTGCTACTGGTGAGCAGTTCCCGCCCAGGCTGCGTTGAACCAAATCATGCTGGAAGGTCTGGATCAGGGCCAAAGTAGGAAATGGGAACCAGAGCCTAGGAAAGACAGCTCAAACTCGGGAGAAATAGAATCCCTTGGAAAAAACAGAACTGTCCCCAAAACCTCTTCAGAACAGTCTCTATTTTTGCACAAGGACAAACTTAACGCCCGAAGGCTCCCCAACAGACAAAATCTGGTCCTCCCTGCCCAAAAAAACCCCCCAGAGAAAAGAGACAAAAGAATCTTTCTCCTGAGACATAACTGCTTTTGTTCAACCAGCACCCATTATTCTTCCAGATTGCCTCTTTCCTCATCCCTAACATGCCATTCTGTTGGTGGCGAGCCAGGAACAAGCATGTATATTATTATTTCATTATTATTTTGTTGGCTGAAGGGTTTTTAATCTCAGCGCTCATGCAAGAGGGGTGGGGGTGACTGAGGGAAAGAGAAGGGCAAACAATCAAATGGGCCAAGCGGGAAGAGTCTGGGAAGGACAAGGAAGTACAAAGGTTTTTCACAGGAGTTAAGATTTTGCTTATTCAGCCCCCAAAGAGATTTATTCTCATGATCAGTGGTGTTGATGGAAATTTGTGAGATGCAGTGGCTGAAATCCTGTTACTTAGTGTAGTGAAGTCACTATCTGTCGAATCAATGGGATTCAGCGAGTCAGCTCCTCCGAAAATTCCAACGATTCAGTAGACCTCTTTAGTTGTGACTTACTACGTGAAGCAACAGTAATTTTTCAGCGTCGAGCAGGGAGCTGGACTCCACGGCCTTATAGGCCCTTCCCACCCCATTATCCTATGGTTGTATGAATCTGAGAAGTGTGTCAGCTTGGGAGATGTTGCTCCACTCAAGACATCACTATTTTAAGTTCATGGACACTCCAAAGCGTAGCCAGCATGTGAATTAAAAGAGCAAAGTTTATTCAATTCAATGTTGAAAATAAATCATGCAGTAAAGAACAATAACAAAAAAGAGAGATTTTAACCACAGTGGTGCCTCGCAGTACATTAATTCATTCCAGCAAAATCGCTGTAGAACGAAAATGTCGTAATGCGAAAAGAAAAAACCCATTGAAATGCATTAAAACCCTGGGGGTGGGGCCTAGGGGTGGGACTTCCTGCTTTAAAAGAGCGTGTCCCAGGACCCTGGATCCTTTTCCCTAGGAAGCTGGGCTGAGGGCGAAGG